CTTCCCATCTACCCCCCACCCTCCTTATCTGCCCTCAACCTCCCCATCTACCCCCTTCCCACCTGCCCCTGGCCCTCCTCACTCACCCCCCACCCCATCCTCCCACCTCCTCCCTGGCACAGAGAGGCGATTCCATCCCGGATGGGGGGTCCCGGTGGGCTCAGCCCCATTCCTCCTCTCCCTTTCCCAATTCCCAGCCACCACCAATCCCACGGGAACTCCCAGCATCCCAGCAGGACCTCCCAGCACCACCGCCAACGCCTCGGCGGCCCCAGGTGAGACGCTCTGCACATCCTTGACCCACCTGGCGGTGGAGAAAAGGTGACCCTGGGGGATGGTGGCAGCCTGGGAAGGTGACAACGGGGACACCCCCCCCCCACAAAGTGCCGGGACCACCCGTATCCCATTTTTTCCCAGCGCTGAGGCTGTCCGGGGGCCGGAGCCGCTGCGAGGGTCGCGTGGAGCTGGAGCAGGAGGGAGCCTGGGGCACGGTGTGTGACGACGGGTGGGACATGGAGGAAGCCCAGGTGGTCTGCAGGCAGCTGGGCTGTGGCTGGGCTCTGCAGGCCCCGGGAGCTGCCGCCTTCGGCCGGGGGAACGGATCCATCCTTCGGGATGAGCTGGGCTGCCGGGGCCACGAGGAGCACCTGTGGGAGTGCCCGGCGGCGCCAAATCACGATTGCAGCCATAAGGAAGATGCTGGAGTGGTGTGTTCTGGTGGGTCCCGGAGGTGCTGGTGCCTGCCCTGCTGGTTCCAGGGAAAGGCTGAGGGAGCTGGTTCTCTTTAGCTTGGAGAAAAGGAGACTGAGGGGCCACCTCATCCATGGGCACAGATCTGTTCAGGGCAGTGTCAGGAGGACAGAGCCAGGCTTTGTGCAGTGGTGTCCAGTGACAGGACAAGGGGCAGTGGGTGCAAACTGGAGCACAGGAGGCTCCATGTGAACATCAGGAAGAACTTCTTTGCTGTGAGAGTGCCAGAGCCCTGGGCCAGGCTGCCCAGGGAGGCTGTGGAGTCTCCTTCTCTGGAGACATTCCAACCCCCCTGGATCCTGTGTGATGTGCTCTGGGTGCCCCTGCTCTGGCAGGGGGGCTGGGCTGGGGGAGCTTTCCAGGTCCCTTCCAACCCCTGGGATTCTAGGATTCTATTCCATGAAAAGGGGGAGCTGGTTTATTTCCTGAGGGGGGGGATGGATGGGGCAGGGTCCCGGCAGCTCTTCCCCCTGTGCCCGCAGAGCACCAGGAGTGGCGGCTCTCGGGCGGCCGGGACGGCTGCTCTGGGAGGGTGGAGGTGGTT